CCTTAATACCATTCCTAAATACAATCTAAAACTTTAGTAATTTTTCTTACCTACAGAACTGCATCGATGCTATTGATGGTACGCACGTCCCTATCACAATTGGACAAGACAATGCCAGTCCATATAGAAATAGGAAAGTGACACTATCGTAGAATGTAATGTTTGCCTGTGACTTCAACCTGAAGTTCACTTTCATCTCATCTGGTTGGGAAGGATCCGCATCTGATGCAGGAGTGTCGCGGTCTGCTCTTCGCAAGGGATTTACTGTGCCGGCAGGCAAATTCTATTTTATAGACGGTGGATATGCAAACACACCATCATTCCTTGCTCCCTACCGAGGAGTTAAGTATCATCTCAGTGAGTTCAGGAGACGAGGCCAGAGGGGAAATGCATATGCCAACTACAAGGAATTGTTCAATCATCGGCATGCGATTCTTCGAAACCACATTGAGAGGGCCTTTGGGGTTCTCAAAAAGCGGTTTCCAATTCTAAAATGGGGACACATTACCCAATTGAATGTCAAGTTAAGATTCCAGCTGCTGCTGCTGTGTTTCACAATATCATTAGAGGGTTGAATGGGAGTGAAGAGTGGCTAGACATCCTACCTGATAATATCAACCCATCAAATTATGTCAACATGCCAGAGGGAGACACTAACTACCCAAGTGAGATGAAATCAAATGATGGAAATACCCTACAAGACCAGATAGCCCATCAGATGTGGGTTGCCTACAATGTGTAGGATAGTAGTGTTTGGAATGTAATTTAATAATACTTTGTATCTCTTTATGAGTCATGTATTTTCTGTAATACTTTGTTTCTGATTTATGAGTTATGAGTTATGTATTTCTGTAATAACAAAGTATTTCTGTAATACTTTGTCTTGATGATGAGGCCTAAATGTTGTGCTATTTTCACCTTGTAAAATTAGATTTGACTTGCTTACAATATTTGTGTTATCATGCTCAAAAAATATTTGTGTTATCATGCTCAAAAAATATTTGTGTTATATTCTATCATGCTTTGGAACACATACACCCTATACTGTATTCTCACAATCTTGAATTATTTCTTATAGCAATGTCGAAGGAAAGGGCTACATGGAACTAGAGATATGAGAAAGGGCTTGTTGACACTATGAGAGACCACGTGAACATCCCAATGTTCAGGGGTCAGAATGGATGGACTGGAGATGGTTGGAGAAGTATCTCGGAAAAGTTCAACCAGATGTTTCCTTTTGCACACTTCACAAAGCAACAGCTACAAGAGAAGGAAATGAGTTAAAGGGCAGTTGGAAGGCGATACATGTAGCGAGACAGGAAAATGGTATTGGTTGGAATGACTCATTAGCCATGGTCATTGCGGAACCGGAAAAATGGAAGAAACTGATCAGTGTAAGAATTTTTCACTGAACCAAAAAATTGCTGCCATATTCTGGTTGCAAGAACTAACTATGCTGTTGTCTTGGTATTAAATAGGATAATGGAAAAATAGCTAGGTTCCAGAAGAAGCCATTTCCTTTATATGAAGACTGTACGTCATTGTATGCTGGTATGTTATTTGAAACTTTTCTCTAAAGTTATGTAGCCTTATTGTTCTACTTGAGAGTAAAGCACCATCGAACTTGATAGTATGACTGTGTAGTGCTTTCAGTCTAAGTTATAGTATGCCTGCACTTGAAGTATGATTGTGTACTATTTTTTTTGCATATGAAGTGTTGCTACAGGAGATCTAAACTTCACGTCAACTGAGCACTTGCAACCTGCTCCTCTTGTTCCTATTGCTACTCCAGCTGCTCCCACTGCTCCAGTTGCTCCCGTTGCAGTCTCTGATAGCACAAGTCTATTTGCTACTTTTGATGGGCTAGACGTCTCAAGTGCACGCAATGAAGCTTAATCTGCACCTTCCAATCAAGATTCTGTGCAAGGACCAAGGGGTGGGAAAAAGCGTAAGCAAAGTCATATTGGTTCTGCTATTGAGGATTTTGTGCAGTATAAGAAGATGCAAACAAGCAAAATCATGGGAGCTCTCAATGAAAAGAAGAAACAAGACGAAGAATTTTCAATCCATAAGTGTCTCGATGAAGTGGATGCAATGGAACTTACTGATGTGGAGAAGGCGTATGCTATGAGTATCTTCAAATCTGAGATAGACAGAGAGGTATTCATGAAAATAAAAAACAAAAATGTTCGCTTGATTTGGCTCAAACAGTAGATTAGGTAATGCTTAGATGCCACTGGATTAGTTTACTTTGGTATGTCTTAGCTGCTAATGCTTTTCGTTGTGTTTACTTGTAGTGCTATTAGTGGAGGCAATGTTTGAATTGAGAAGAAAAACGCAGCTACAGTCATTGTATGCAAGTATATTATTTGAATTTGTCTTTCTCAATTATGAAAATGGGTTGTTGTTTGAGTTCAGTGGATTACAAGTACTCTAGAATAAGATTGATTTGTGTTGCAGACATATACTCTAGAATCAAATTGATTTGTGTTGCACTTGCGTCTGGCGTTCTTAAGCATAGTAGGTCATATTCCTTTGGCTTTAAAATAGATAATTTGGCTGTCGTTTTTGTTGTCAGTCCTGTTCTATGTAGGTCTGATTGAATTTGTTTTTGCATTTTGTGACTGGTCTTGTGGAGCTTAGATGACTAACCTGTAGTTGCACCAAAACTTAACAACTTTTCCACATTTGTAATTTGCTTGCTGAGGCATGCCACATGTTACCTTGGTTCAAGTTGATGTATCCTAGCAGCACTAGATTATTTTACCGTATGTATGTCTGTAGCTACTAATGTTTTTCCTTGTTTACCTGCAGGGTTCTTGGTGTGGAAGCAAATGCATGATTTGAGAAGAAAATTATTTTTACTAGCTGCAGTGCCTATGTGAGAAGCTTATGCAAAAGAGTTCTTTTTTTTCTCTCGAACACTGCTTATGAAAGGAGTTGAACCATATTTTTTTTATTATATGTCTTGGATATCTGGATGGATTTGATCAGTGATTTGGTAATGAATGGATTAGCTAGGTTGGATTTGCCACTTGAATTAAATTTTCTATGTATTGAACTATGTCAAAAAAAATTATCATTCCATATTCTTGATGCGGGCTTCTCATGTTATTCAATTATTTGTATTATTTTGGTCTTGTGATTTTCCATGCATTATTTTTATGAAAATGTTGTGGTTGACATTGATCTGTGGTGGATTCCTCATATTATTCATAAAATTTTGTTTTTTCTTGATTTTCTAAGACGTCAATGCAGATCCGTTGCAAAGCTGACATCAATCTGTGAATGATAACATCAACGCAAAGGCACTCTGGAGTACGGCCAACCTCCTGCCAAAGGACGACAGGGAAACTCTCACATGGCGTGGATATCTTTCCTAGGTTGAACCGGGTTTCCATTGTCAAAAAAATCCCTCCCCTTCAATTACTTGCCGGGGTTAATTACCTATGGCTGCCAACGTAGGCCTGGCTGGCTTCCGCCCCTGTGTCAAACCTTCAAGGGAAACGTCATGGATTCCGAGCAGATGGAGTGTTTTTTCTATGCTCTAAACATGCTCCAAAGTTTATACTATTTCACAGCTCCATGTGAACTGCTGGAGTTCTTTTATGCTTTCTACTGGGTGGTGTGTCTTTTTTATTTTATATCTGATGAATAATATGTATAGATAGAGAAATTAAAAAAACACATTGACAAATATTATTTGAGAAAAAAATTTATTGAACACTGAAAACAAGTTATGCTTTCCTTTCAGTGTCAAATAGAAAAGATTAAACTGCTCAGTGTCTTTTATTTATTTCTAGAGCAAAGAAAGAAAGCACTAGCTTTACTATATCTCAGATATAAGAAATTTACTTTTATATTATTTTTGTCTCCCAGATCTGCTCAGCTCAGCAACGGGAAGCATCGCATGCGTGGCCAGCCCAGCCCAGGTCTGGCTCTCTGTCTATACCCCACGTTTCCGTTCCGTGCCACGCACCGTTTTTTCCTCTCCGCGATAGCGGCGAGAAGTGGGCAGAATCGTCATTTCCCGCCTCCCTGGACTCCATGCATGTTTTAAGGTCGCGGTTGCCAACGCCCGGTGCCAGCGGAGAAGGAGAGGTCGACCGGCCCCGCTGCCCCCACCGCAGCGCCACCGAAGCCGCCAAACACCACCACCACATCCGCCAGAAGCCTCTCCCTCCCCCCCTCCCCTCGTCGGCGCGCCGCCAATGGCCGCGTGGTGAAGCGCACCCGACGGAAGAAGCAGGCACCAACAGCCAAGCCCCCTCCTTTGCCCTCGCCGCCGCCGCTGCCGCCCTCCCACTGCTGCGGAAGGTTCGTTCCCTTGCGCGCCCCCTCCCGTCCCGGCCCGCCCGCATTCCGTGCCGTTTCCCTTCATCATAGGTTCGTAGTGGGGCTGAAGTCTATTCCTGGTCGGATTGCTATTCCAACTTCCACCGGATAAGCTGTAGCTATTTCTGGGCGCTTCGCTGTTCGGCCGGCTAACGTACGGGCCGCGACAGCTGGGGGGTGAATCGCGGGAATTCAGGATCCGTGCCCCGGTTGGATCTCAAGTTCAGGAAACCTTGCGCCCCCTCTTTCTTCTCGTTTCCGCCGCTAGATTTGGGGTTCCTGCCGCTTCTTTTCTTGGCCTCTCTCTCGTCCTTGTAGTCTTTGGTGAGTTTTTCTTTCCTTTTTTCCCCTACGTACTGTATGCGTTTATTTCGTCTCATGTTTGCTGTATTTGAGCGGGTTGGTTTGACCGTCGTTTTGTCCCCGTACTTCTACTTCCTCGCAAGCTCTGGCCATTTGTTCTTTGTACCCGTGATGCGCCTGTACTGTGCACCAAGTCTTGCTTTTTTGGGTTGCTTAAATTGGGTAAACGAGCAGTTTTTTTTTGTTTGATTTTGTGGTTTGCGTTGATGCTAATGCTGTTCTCGTGCTGAATCAGGTTGGGATCCCGGATTCAGACAGGTGCCAACCATTCGATTTGATTTGGGGCGGAGGAGTACTTTCCTATGGCCGCCTCCATCGCGGCCTCGTCCCTCTTTCCAGGGTCGCCGGCGCCGGCACCGGCCGCTCCTAAGAACGTCCTTGGGGAGCGCCCGGAGAGCCTGGACGTCCGCGGCGTGGCGGCGAAGCCGGGAGCCTCGTCCAATGCCGTGAGGGCGGGCAAGACGCGCGCCCACGCTGCCGTCCCCAAGGTGAACGGTGGGGGCAAGTCTGCGGTGGCGGATGGGGAGCACGAGACCGTACCTTCCTCGGTGCCGAAGACTTTCTACAACCAGCTTCCCGACTGGAGCATGCTCCTTGCGGCCATCACTACCATCTTCTTGGCCGCCGAGAAGCAGTGGACGATGCTTGACTGGAAGCCCAGGCGGCCTGACATGCTCACTGACACCTTTGGGTTTGGCCGGATCATACATGATGGGCTCATGTTCAGGCAGAACTTCTCCATTAGGTCCTATGAGATAGGGGCGGATAGGACGGCATCTATAGAGACACTGATGAACCATTTGCAGGTAAGGATTTGTTATTTTTGAGGCGTGAGATTGTTGTGGCTGAGGATTGGACGATGAAAAAAGTTTGGATTTGATCCAGGAAACGGCACTTAATCATGTGAAGACCGCTGGGCTGCTAGGTGATGGATTTGGCTCCACACCAGAGATGAGTAAAAGAAACTTGTTCTGGGTGGTTAGCCAAATGCAGGCCATCGTCGAGCTTTATCCATGCTGGTATGGTTTGCAGCATCGCATGATCTTGTTTCAGTTTTCTTATCGTGATTTGAGCTTGAAATATGTTGCACCCATGTGGCTATCTGCGGAGACATAGAATTATTAATGATCACGGCTTGTTTCCTCAGTGCTGGTATTGAGTGATTTGTTGAATGGGGTTTTCAAGTTGTTTGGCAATAAATGTGAAAAGAAAGCTCCCTGGTGTTCTTTGCACTGTTTGACATTAACTAGTTAGATGAGCCTATATAGTTGTATGTCACTGTGGGCAGTTCCTCAATTATTGATGCAGATGCACTCATTGAACCTCTTGAGGTCTTGATATGTTTTCCTATGGTAACTAACAGATACTAGAAAGTTTACCTTCTGTGAACGGAAGATGATCCCTCATCATCTGGGTTCTACTATTATGTGTTCTAAGTCGCTCTATTCTGCTGCAGGGGTGATACTGTTGAAGTAGATACATGGGTTAGTGCTAATGGTAAAAATGGAATGCGTAGGGATTGGCATATACGTGATTCTATAACAGGCCACACGATACTGAAGGCAACAAGGTTCAAATCTCTGCTATTTATACCATTAATCAATTTTATTAACAGTTTATTTCTACCAACTGCCATGTTACGATTGATGCTGCATTTATAATTTTTTTCTGCTCAAAGTACGTGAACTTGGTTACATGGGCATCCTGTTGCAATATTTTTTTTCTAATTTATGTCTTTGTGCAGTAAATGGGTTATGATGAACAAACTTACTAGGAAGCTTGCAAGAATTCCAGATGAAGTGCGGACTGAAATAGAGCCATACTTTTTTGAGCGTTCTGCTATTGTTGATGAAGACAACCGCAAGCTTCCAAAACTGCCAGATGGTCAAAGCACTTCTGTAGCTAAATATGTGAGGACAGGGCTGACTGTAAGTAACTGAATTAATATTTAGATTAGATTGCTAGTCTGTTCATATAGTTATTTTTTCTTTGCTGTTTAATATATTTGTGGTCTATTTTATGCAGCCTCGGTGGGCTGATCTTGATATAAATCAGCATGTCAATAATGTTAAATACATTGCGTGGATTCTTGAGGTAATTTTCTTTCTGATGATATGCATCTTTATTCTACTCTTCAGTGTTTCTTGTTTAGAGACTGAAATAGGTAATGAAGCACATTCATGACCAACTATTTTAGTACTTGTGATTTATTTGAACTATTTTATTTCACACTCAAGTACTCTATGCTGGGGGGGTAGATTCAGTATAATGGTTCATCTCATGATATATATTATGGTATCTTTTTAAAAAAACTTATCCATGACAACAAATGCACAAGTTGGACAAGGAATGCATCTCCTGAGATTTTAGTATATTTGGTTGGTCACCTAGGCACCTAACAATGTCGTGGACTTTTGTTGCTTTCGTGCAAGAGCAGCCTGTGTACAAATCAATTTAGTCTTTCTTTGCTCTAAGCTACACAGAAATAAGATGTCGTAGAGATAATTCTTATATTTGCCTGATTGATGATATGCCATGTGTTGTTGGCTGGTCGCTCATGCACTTATTGTTGGCTATGAGTACGGAGACAGTTATCATTTGGTTTTCCTTCCTGCTTCATTAATTGGCAGCTCTTCTGCCACTATTAATTAGAGGGGGGGCTCTGCTATTTGGTCAAGTGATTCTAAACCCAAACTGGATAGGCCCTTGTTTAGTTCGCGAAATTTGGATTTTGGAGCTACTGTAGCACCTTCGTTTTTATTTGGCAAATAGTGTTCAAACATTGACTAATTAGGCTTAAAACGTTCGTCTCGCAATTTCCCACCAAACTGTGCAATTAGTTTTTCTTTTCGTCTATATTTAATGCTCCATGCACGGGCCGCAAATATTCGATGTGACAGGTACTGTAGCAACTTTTTGGATTTTGGGGTCCAACTAAACAAGGGCTAGGAAAGAATCAAAAAAAAATGAGACGGATTAGCATATTAATTAGTGCCTTGTATACAAAGACTTTTGCCCACATCTGCAATTAACCTTACTTTTATCTTTGCCTCAGAGTGCACCGATCTCTATTCTTGAGAATCATGAACTGGCGAGTATTGTGCTGGATTACAAAAGGGAGTGTGGCCGGGATAGTGTGCTGCAGTCACACACCTCTGTGCACACGGATTGCAACAGTGAGTCTGGAGAGACAACCTTGCACTGTGAGCATGTGCTGAGCCTTGAATCAGGTCCGACCATGGTGAAGGCCCGGACCATGTGGAGGCCTAAGCGAACCAAGGCCCAAGAAACAGTGGTTCCATCTTCATTTTGAACTGTGTGAGATGTTGGGGATGGTGATTTTGGCAGCAAACTATTTGGTAAAAGATCAGAATGGTTACTAGTGTCCTCTATTGGAAGCAAATCACACAAGGCGAGACCTAAACTAATTTAGTTATGAAGTGTGAAAAATAGAGGAGATACAAGTGAGTCACAATGGAGGAGACAGAACCGGGGAGATCGAATACAAAGGAGGCTTCCTGTGCATGGCTTGTTTCTGTTTTTCCTTTTGAGTTCTTTCTTAGTGTTGTAAGTATTGATCTGTCTGTATCTACAAGTGTATGAAGGGGAGCGAGTGCTTCCCATACATGTTCCTTCTGGGGCTATGTCCATATGTTATATGCCCCTTGAAAACAGCTTTGTCGCAGCCATATTCATTCAGAGAATTTTAATCTCGTATATTGTATTTGCTGATATTAAAATTTGATATTATTACTTTTCTCCAGGCTGATAAAGTGTCTAAACTTCGTACCTGGGACAATGCGATAAATATTGAAGTTGTGCAGCTTGTGATCCACTTTGACAAGCATAGTTTTTTTTTTGACTTATAGTTGTTTGAACTGAAGACAGCTTGGCGTAAGCAATGACGGGTTGACATGTCTACCATGCTTTCTGCTCCTAATTTCTAGATTAGACTAGAGTTGACTGATGAGAAAGGAGAACAAACTGAATTTTGCATCCGACTCCCTTTACGGATGGCTGAATTTGAGCTGTGGAGGCTACTCGAAGACAAGTCATATGCGATGTTTGGATTCTAAAGTTGTCTTTGATGGAATTGTTCTTCTGGGTGGTTCAAGTTAGGTTACCAAAGTTAATACAAGAGGGGCCCTGCGAATCGTTGGTTGGGAATTGCTAATCGATGTGCCACTTTTTTTATACGACTTATTTGTAGAGATCATAATATATCAATCTTTACAACTAAAACATTCATAACTATTCCGTCCACAGATGCGACATCAAAGCCGCTCCATGCGATCAGATCAGGAACGCAACGCGCACTCGCTTCATGCGATCAGCTCAATCCCCTTAACAGCCGTAACAAATTAGGAAGGCAAAAATCAATTCCCGTAACAATCGTGATCAATTCCGCGATCACCCCAAGCCGCCAATCACGTGAGACTGCGCCGTCACTTGCACAGCGACCTCCCTGGCACTCTGCAGTCGCATGGCACCGCGTCCTCACCTCCTCGTGCATGGCCTTCTGTGGCAGAACCGTCCGAAATAACACGCTTACGGAGTTGCTCGTCTTCCACCAGACACTAAGCACCCCGAAAGCAAGTTACAGCGGGCGGTATCCATCGGGCACACCCCAAGGGAGAACCCGAAAGATCCACATTTTTCCCAAGGATCCAATAATGAGAACGAGTTACAATACAGGTCCATTTCATACATCAGAGTTTCTTAAAAATACATTATTACAATACCAAATATCAGAGTGCGGAATGATAAACAACGGAATTTAAAGTAAACATCTAGCGATAAGAACGAGGATCCGTCTGAGTCCACCAGAAGAATCCTCCATACAAGGGTACTTCTCATATATCACCTACAACAGGGGTAAATAAACCATAAGTACACAATGTACTCGCAAGACTTATCTGACTAGTGAAAATAATTTTCCGACTCCAAAGAATATAATAAGCTTTATGGTTTACTGGTTTTTTTTATCAGAAAGCAATACTAATAGTGAGTCATTATTTATATTATTATTATTAGCCGTATTAAGTTATTATCTATCCAGTCTATATAAGCACTTGTTCTGCTTTCAAGTAAGAGTTGAGCAATCAGTTCCATTTCATCACATTTCATCTTTCAGTTCTTACTACGGTGCTAGACACGAAACAAGCCGTACCGGATCATCCGGCGATTCGAGAATCAATGTGCCCAGCTGGGTGCCCCAAAAACACACGCTCCGTTTGTACCCCAGGCACAAGCAGGACTAACCCATCACCCTCCTGTCCTGGGTGTCTAGGTCCCCGTCCAAACTTGGACTCCAAGCCCCCACTCCTGAGTCCCGGACTCAGCGTGGTGCAAGGACCTCCACCATCCCCTCCTCCCATCAGTTGGTCCGGAAAGAGCCGGATCCACGACAAGAGAGCAACAAGTCTTCCCTACGTCCATACCCAAGTATGCGCTCGAGACAATAAATATGTGACTTGCCCACTGTAAGGTCGGGATGGCGGACTAGAGGGGGGTGAATAGTCATTTCTAAAATTAATAGCATCGACTAATCGAAACAAGTATGAAATTAAAACTATTGGTCTAGCCAAGACTACACCCCTTTATTTATGTTCTCTATCACCTTTCAAAGATACTAATTAAGCAATAAAGGTGCCGGGCTAGCTAGAGCTCACCTAACCAATTCTAGAAGCAAAGTCACACAAACCTATGCCACTAGTACTTCAAGCAACACGGGAGCTCCTACACAAGCTAGTAAGCAAAAGCACAAAGCCACCTAAGCTCACTAGCAATGCTCAATAACAAGGCAACCAATGCCAAATTAGAGAGCGTAATTACTTAGCTACACAAACTAAGCAATGTGACTAACAAGGTTACACAAACCAAATTAGCCACGCAAGGGAGCTACTTCTATGCTACACAAGCAAGAAGGTAACTAGTAAGCTACGCAAGCTAACTAATTACAAGAGCAACTACACAAGCACAATGTATATGAAATATAAATACAAGCTTGTGAAAGGGGATTGCAAACCAACGGGAAGAACAAGGTTAACATGGTGATTTTTCTCCCGAGGTTCACGTGTTTGCCAACACGCTAGTCCCCGTTGTGTCGACCGCTCACTTGGTGGTTCGGCGGCTAATTGGCATCACCCGCTAAGCCCACACATCAGGCACCGCAAGAACCTACCCCAAAAGTGAGGGTAGCTCAATGACACGCTTTACTAGAGTTGCTCTTCGCAGCTCCCGCGGGGTGAGCACAATGCCCCTCACAAAGCTCTTCTCCAGAGCACCGCGCAAGCTTCTTGCGGGCTTCGACAGAGACCACCACCAAGCCGTCTAGGAGGTGGCAACCTTCAAAAGTAACAAGCACCACCGGCTTGCAACTCGATCACCTAGTGCCACTTGATGCAACCTCACGATGCAATTGCACTAGAATCGCTCTCTCACACAATCGGATGATCACTATCAAACATATGTGAGCTGGAGGGCTCCCAAGCATGGACACAAAGTCCCCCAAGGTGCTCAGCACCAGCCATGGCCGAGACACCCTTCTATTTATAGCCCCATGGGCTAAACTAGCCGTTACCCCTTCACTGGGCATTTTTCGAGTTGACCGGACACGCCGGTCATATCGACCGGACGTAGGACCTCAGCGTCCGGTCAACGGATGCTCGCCACGTGTCGCCACCGTTCAACCTTAGTCGCTTGATCTCAACGGTCAAGTGATGACTGGACGCAGCTGCTCAAAGTGACTGGATGCAGCAACCCCAGCGTCCGGTCGTTTCCAGTAAGGTACCAGTCGCGACCGGACGCGTCTGGTCAGTCATGATCGGACACAGCATCTGCGTCTAGTCCTTCTCCACCTTCTCTATGTCACCTGTGTCACCGTACATCAGCCTAACCGGACGCACCCTACCAGCGTCCGGTCACTTTCAACGCCAGCGTCCGATCGAAGACCGACGCCTGCACGCTCTCTGCCGCCACTGACCGGACGCAGGACCCCAGCGTCCGGTCACCACATGACCAGCGTCTGGTCCACTCTATGAGACCCTGTCTTTTCTGTATAGGGCGCCGGTGGCACCGTCGGACTGTCTGCACTCTACGGGCGGACACTCCACCGGTGGAGTTCCTAACCCTTCTCGTCTCCGTTTCATCGCTGAGTTGATCCAGATCAACTCCAACTTCATTTTCTTTATAAATGTGCCAACACCACCAAGTGTACACCATCATGTGTATGTGTGTTAGCATTTTCACAATCATTTTCCAAAGGATTAGCCACTCAACTTGCCACGCCACTCAATCCTAGCAACATCGCAAAGTTAGATCGCTCAAGTGGCACTAGATGACCGATATGCGAACAAGTTTGCCCCTCTTGATAGTACAGTCATCTATCCTAAATCCAGTCATAAACTTCTCTACACACCTATGACAGGTGAAATGAAATGCCCTATAGGTTATACCTTTGCCTTGCGCATTCCATTCCATCTCCTCTAATGTCTATGCAACTCATACACCAACATGATCAACAATGATATGATCCAATTCATATCATCATGTGACCTTATTGGTTCATCGATCTTGACCTCACTTGCCCTTCACCGTTGCATCGGTCCATCGGTGACAAGTCTTTGCTCAAGCTTCACCGCCACGCGGTCCATCGCTCTAAAGCCTTCGACTTGCCCTTCATGCTTGCAACCGGTCCATCAAGCCAAGTCTTATCTTGATCTTCTCCACCTTGATCACATGACTCAATGTCATGTCTCATTTGCAATGAGCTCCTTCATCATCATATGTGTGAGCTTTACAACATCTCCAAACCATTTTCACCTTTATGGCATATGTTGCTCACACACATGTACCTGTGGACTAATCACCTATGTATCTCACATAAACACAATTAGTCCACCTAGGCTGTCACTCAATTACCAAAACCACACAAGGATCTTTCACCCATGATGCCTTATGCAACGACCGGTCCTTAATTGACACAGACAGAGAAAAAGTGTAACCGAGCTATGCCCTGTTGGCCGCAGAACACAACCCTTTACACCCACCAGTACCCAAACCATCTCCCTATTTGGTCACCATTTTCCTTTCCACCATTTTATCATGAGTGATCATATTTATCACCTATTTGCTGAGTAACGGCAGGTTACTCACGCTACCGATATCCTGAGCATAGCATCTACTCGACCTACACTAGTAGGACTCATGGGTAGATATATTTATGCATGTAGTTTCCATAAAATGCCTGTAACTTAAATGCACATCATATATATATATATTGAGTGATCATAAAAATAAGGGTTATGCACC